CCCTCAGGAAGCATCTTTGAACATATAACATGAACAGTATCATAGGTATTTTCAAATGAGATACCTAGAAATGGAATTGTTGGATCAAAGGGTATGTACCAATTATGCCCTGATAGATGGTACTCCCTTTCTCAGTGATTGCACCCATTTGCCCTTATTCCAACAATGAATAAGCAAGCTCATTTCTCCACATCTTTTCCTAAACTGAGTGTAATCAGTCACTATGATTTCCATAAATCTGATAGAGTCAAAATTATTTTTAAAGTAGAATCTTATTGTTTGGGTCTGTATTTCTTTAATTATTGGTAAGGTTAAGTAACTTATTAAATGATCATTGACAGTATCTCCCACCTTCAGCATCTCTTGCTGTTGATCCTGTGTATTACTTCCTGTAAACTCTACTCATTGATCTTAGCTGTGTCTCTGAATTCAAACTAATAGGCCACTTCTAATTTCTAAATGGCCATTGTCCAACTGTAGGCAAATATCCCCAATTTCTCTCTAAGAGTGATAGTGAAAAGTTTGAGATTCTATGTTCTGTCCTCTGAAATACCATAGTTATCAATGTCCCCTTTAAAGCATTTCTCCAGAATGAAATACAGAACAACATGTGTGTTCTGGTAAGTGTTGGATACAGAGAAATAGTAACTATTGCTGTTCTGAATTATGCTTATAATACTGCAATTTAAGTATAAATTGAATTGGGGGTTCACTTTTCTTGAGTGCGTAGTCAATCCAAAGAGTATATTTTCACATCATCTATTTTTAAGTCAGATTTCTCCTTTTTCCTAGTATGCAGCTGATTTTTGTCAGCTTTGATAAAATTTTTGTATTTACTCCATTCCTGCTTTTACCTGCTGCTTTATATCTTTACTAGAGCCAATGAATTGTTTATTTTCAAACTTATTTTGTGTAGTGTATTAGTAGTTCTTACCATTTTGTATCATTGGCAGATTTAAAAGGCAAATTTTTATTTAAACATGTTAGGCAGAAAGAAGTAAGTAATGTACTCTTCTTTCAAAATTTCTAATTCACACACTTTGGATTTGATCATGGAAGTAGCACAAAATCCACCACTTACGTTCATATCCAGCCCACAGTCTTCATCCAGGCCAGAGAAAATAAGGTACAATGTTTGTCAACTGTGATATCAACATGACATTAATTTCTGTTTCCACTCACAAGGTCCCGTCCAATAATCTCTTAAAAAAAAGGCAGCAAAACTAATTGGACATAGCTCTTATTATTTAATTTCTTAGTGAAAGTGCTAAATCTCTGGTTATCACAACTTTCTGTGTCCTTAAAGCATTAATTTTGAAGAGATAATACAGTCATACAATTCATAAAAAAGATATATAAAAAGATGCAATGAAAAGTCTTCCTCCCAATCTGAACCCCATTCATGTCCCTCCACCTCTCTTGTTCTGCATTCACTATTATCATGTCATATGTTATTGTTTCTTACATATCCACTCAGAGTTTTATTAAGGATATATAAATAGAAAGCACTGTAATGGTAGGAATTACTTTCTGCTTTTATACTAAATATAAATGTTCTGGATCCATTTTCTTTATCGAATGCTGTCCGATAAAGACACCTCCATCTCAGCACACTGTGGTCTTTTTCTTCCTTGAGTTATTGTATTTCTGCATCATGATCTTCCTTCATGAAGGTTATTGCATCCTCCATAGAAGTAGTGGCTTCATTAAAATTTTAACATTTGTGACATAGTATCTGCTTACATTTTAAAATCTGTGCCACACCATCATTTACCTGATAAGTGTTTTTCATTTGTTTTTAAATTTTACTTATATTTACTTTTCACAACATAAATCTCCCTATTATTTTGATGTCGTTGTGGTCCATCATCAAATTATGGGACTTTTCTGCACAAGTAAGAATTTACGGAAGTCTTTGTGGCAGGGAGATATGACAGTCTCCGTGCTCTGTTTTCCCCAGCTCAAACTTTCCTTATGTATTGCCATGGAGTCATACTACTTCCTGTAAGTTCCTCTTGTGTTCTTTAGTTAACTTCACCGCATTCCAGTTCCAAGAGTATTTTCCCCCAGTGTCCTGCTCATATCAAATTATCGCAAACAAAGGATGTGTCTTTTGCATTTGCTTCTCACCTTCAGGTAATGTATTATTGTGTGCACTTTCTGAGATGGGCCACCCCTGGACTCTCTTGTCACTCTCTGTACTTCTTTTGCACACTGTTCCTTTCACAGCCCTTACACATATGTTGGAGACTGCAGATTATGTTTTCTCCTAGTTTTATAGAAAATGATGTCTGTGGTCTCAAGTGTCTTTCTATTCTCCATGGTTTTGGATGGCTTCCAGGCAGAAAAGTAAAAAATGCTGACTTGTGCCATGCTCGTCCTAGAAGTTACCACTTTCTTTATAAATCTTCATAAACCATCTGTTTAATGACCAGTTCTAAAATAAAAAAGTGCTAAGGAGCAGTAGCCAGCATCTGTCTCGAGTTTTGGACTTTGCTTCTTCTGCTTCTTCTTGCTTTTTGCAAGCCAGGATAATAGTCTTTTGCCTTCAAATATTTATGTCTTTTTAAGTATGTGAGGATATAATTGAGTGAATTTAAATCATTCTTCCATTACATTTTTTCCTGACATACCTTGTGTTTCACCCTCACAGCTCATATTTTTTTACCCTCCCCCCTTCATTCCTCCTAATAAGTAAGAAGAAGCAAACCATTCAACTCACACACCTGCCTCATGA